AATTAATAGACAATGCATGTCTACTATGTTTGATCATGAGTTATTCTAATGTTCGAATGTTTGCTTTAATTTCGGGTGAAAAAGACAAGAATTGTCCAACATTTGGATATTTTTTTTAAATTTGGTCCTTGATCTCAGCTTTCGGTTCACGTGAGCAATCGTCAGAGTGGTTATACGAACATTTTAACAAGGACATACATAATCGAAGATATATATATTTGTTTTATGCTGACATAGAAGATTGCTATGCGACGATAACGGTCGCAGAATAACAGACAGAAATATTAACTACAGAACTAAGAGAACGAGATATTAACTACAGAACAGTGTGTCTAGATGCAATGTAAGGTGTTGCGACGAGTTTGAAATGTAATTTTGTTGACTGTGGGTTGCATTGAGTTGTTTGAAATGTAATTTTTGTTGACTGTGGGTTACATTTCAAACTAGTCACAACACATATCCAAATGTTGGACAATTTTTGTCTTTATTTTCACCCGAAATTAAAGCAAATATATGAACATTACAACGGCCCATGATCAGACATAACAGATATCCATTGTGTGTTATATTGAACAATATATGTTTAAATAAGGATCTGCTGCCCCAATATACTATATATATATACTATATATATATATATATATATATATATATATATATATATATATATATATATATAATTGATTTATTTAAAATATGTTTTTTTGCAGTTCTAACTGTGTAAAAAAATCATATTTTAAATAAATCAATTTATAATATTATAATATTAATGCTCTGTAAATTTACATTGAGCACTATTTTGTAAAAATAAAAATATCTCTAAGAACACCGGATTATATATCTTACTGTTCTTTTTCTTTATATATATATATATATATATATATATATATATATATATATATATATATATGTGTGTGTGTGTGTATGTGTGTGTGTGTGTGTGTGTGTGTATATGTATATAAATAAAATAAATATATATATATATAATTATTTATATATTATATGCGGGTACTTATTAGAAAGCGCTCAATATCAGAGATAGAGCTAACGACCAAGTGTGTATGTGTGTCTGCGTACTTCATTAGGCGTATGAACATACATCGATGTTTGTGTTTGCACGATGACACCACGACGACGTTTCCCCACCCCCGCTTCCATAATAACACCAATACACGCAATCTACATAAACCCAAAATTAAAAAAAAATTAATGAGTTTGTCTGACGATCGCAAAAGCGTGAAACCCAGGGTCACAAACTGACATCTATCTAACCATATATATATATATATATATATATATATATATATATATATATATATATATATATGTGTGTGTGTGTGTTTGCTTTGCGTGACTAACTTAATAAATATTACTCTCCAGTCAATCCATTCTAAAAATGTTTGAAATTCTCTTTCTTTATAACTAGGCCCATATTCTTAAATGTCTTCATTTAAGGAAATAAATTTCCATTTTCCCTTATTTATAATATAGTGTTATTTACGTTTATCCACTCACATTGTGTTATTGACACGGCAAAAGTGTGTTTGCAATAGAACCAAACACTAGATACTCCCCAGTCCATTCATCTAGCCACTGAGCCATACACTCGACAACACATGCAACGCCTAATCTTAATTCAATAGAATAAATGGAATATGCGTGTCACCCTGAGACGAAGATGCGTGTCTCTTTTTGATGGACGGTCTTGACAAGGTAGAGGGAAGTGATAATTGCAAGAGATTTAAAATGATTTAACGTAAATCGACAAAAGCAACAACAATGACAGTTCCGTTAGGTTATTGGGTTATAGAATGCAAGGGATTGTGGGATATGCGAGACGGAAGAAGATGACAGTTTGAAATGAACAGGCTTCTACGGGTGAGCGCTGGGAAGAAATGGCGTGGAAGAGAAAATGGGTGGCTCAAGTTCAAAGATGAAAAGAAAACAAATGAGAAAAATGAAAACATCAAGTCGGGGAAAAATACGTGGTTGTAATAGAAAAGACGAAGATTTTCTAGTAATGAGCGATGAAAAAAAAAAATGAAGGGCGAAAAATGTTGGGTAAATTTAAAAAGTAGAGTGTTAAAAAGAAAATGGAAAATGAACCGACATAATTCTTTTAAAATAAAAGAATTAAACAGCGAGACGTGGAGTGAAAGTTCAAGAAAAAATTAAAATGGCGGAAGTGCAAAAATAAAAAAAAAATGCGTAAAGGAAATGCGGAAGATGAAGAGGAAGTGGCTGTTGGAGAAAGAAACAAAAATGAAAAACGTGAATAGAGAAAAAGTTAAAAAATGTAGAAGATGAAAAAGAAATGAAAAAGAACAAGTTAAAAGAATTTGAGAAAAGACAGAATAAGTAAGAAACAAAAATATTAACATTTAGAAAAGGAAAAAGAAACGATGAAAAAGAAGAAGAAATGGAGCAGGGAAAGAAGAAGAAGAAGAAGAAGAAGAAGAAGAAGAAGAAGAAGAAGAAGAAGAAGAAGAAGAAGAAATGGAACAGGTAAAAGAAGAAGAAGAAGAAATGGTACAAGGAAAGAAAGAAGAAGAAATGGTACAAGGAAAGAAAGAAGAAGAAATGGAAAAGGGAAAGAAGAAGTACAAAGAGGAAAAGAAGAAGGAGAAATGGAATATGGAATGGAAGAAGAAGAAGAAGAAGAAGAAGAAGAAGAAGAAGAAGAAGAAGAAGAAGAAGAAGAAAGGAAAAGAAAAGAAGAAGAAATGGAGCAGGGAAAAGAAGAAGAAGACGAAGAAGAAAGAAGAAAAAGAGGAAAAAGAAGAAATGGAACAGGGAAAAGAAGAAGAAGAAGAAGAAGAAGAAGAAATGGCACAAGGAAAGAAAGAAGAAGAAATGGCACAAGGAAAGAAAGAAGAAGAAATGGAAAAGGGAAAGAAGAAGTACAAAGAGGAAAAGAAGAAGAAATGGAAAAGGGGAAAAGAAGAAGGAGAAATGGAATAGGGAATGGAAGAAGAAGAAGAAGAAGAAGAAGAAGAAGAAGAAGAAGAAGAAATGGAACAAGAAAAAGAAGAAGAAGAAATGGAGCAGGGAAAAGAAGAAGAAGAAGACGAAGAAGAAAGAAGAAAAAGAGGAAAAAGAAGAAATGGAACAGGGAAAAGAAGAAGAAGAAGAAGAAGAAGAAGAAGAAGAAGAAGAAGAAGAAGAAGAAGAAGAAATGGAAAAGGAGAAAGAAGACGAAATGGAAAAAAGTGGAAACGAAGACAAAAGGTAAAGTGGAATGGAAAATGATAAGTAAGAAATGAAAAAGAGGGAAAAAACAGAAGAAAAAATAGAAAATGAGGAAAGAAAAAAGAGAGACGAAGACGTAAATCGGAACAAAAATGAAGCGCATTAAAAATGTGAAAAGACAAGAAGAAAAAAAAGTAGAAAAAGAAATGGAAAGTGGAAACAAAGAGGTATAAATTAAGAAATGGAAAAGAGGAAAAGAAAGAGAAGAAGGCATAGAAAAAGAGGAATAAAAAAGAGAAAGATAAAAGGCAAAGAGAAAAAGATATAAAAAAAAGGCAAGAAAAAGAAAGAAGAACAAAGTAGTAGAGAAAGAAGAAACGAGAAAGGTGAAGAGATAAAAGCAGAGAATAATCAAAGGAGAATACTACAGTAAAATCAAAGATAGGAAGTGAAGCAAACGCAGAGAGGGAGAGGGGAGAAAAGAAGTGATTGAGAAAGAGAGAGAGAGAGGGGGGTAAGTATAGTAAAAGAAATAATGAAAAAGAGAAGAGGAAAAAGAATAGAATTAAATCAAGCTAAAGCAGACGGCAAATAATTCGTAGAATAAGAGATGCACCGGGTTCGGTCTCCACTGAGTGGTTAAGATTGAAGACTAGTTTTCTAATTGAAATTGTTTTTTTTGTTGTTGTTTTTGTTTCGTTTTTTTTTTGTTTTGTTTTTTTGTTGTTGTTGTTTTTTTTTGTTTTTTTTTCGTATTTCCCACCAGTCCACCCTGGAAAAATACCAATATTTGGAAATGCTGACAACCCAAAGCAGGCTATATTATGGCGCACGACACTCAGCCTACTTGCAATATCTACTTCCCCCATAATATATGTACCATAGTGACCCTAACACTGCCAACATTATTCACTATTAAGAGAGAGAGCAAAAAAAAAAAAAAAAAACGGAAAAGAGGAGAAACAGGTAATGCTAAGTATGCTGAAGAGACTTGAAGCAACAGAAATGTGATTCTACAGAAGGATGCTGAGAATACCATGTGCAGAAATTTTGAGCAACGAACACAAAAAGGACACTTAAAGTCAGGAGGGGACATTTGAAATAACTAGAACACATAATAGAGAAAGGTGGATTAAAGAGTTGGATACTCACGGCATAGACTGAAAGCAAGAAGGACAGGGGAAAGCAAAGCTTTGCATGTATAATGAGCTTGAGTAAATGGATGGCAGACCAACGTTTAGGAGAAATACCAAAAAGACAAAATATATTAAGAGCTACGAAGGACAGGAAATTGTGGAGAGCCATGATCGTTTATCACGTGACGAGACACGGCACGTAAATAAGACGATAATGGTTAAGTCAGCCCTTTTCTTTGCGGTACTGAAACATGCCACGGATGCCTGAAACTGAATATTAGCAAACGCTTCTTTTTCCCTATATAGTGATTCTCCAAGCGTAGCTTAGATGTGGCACAAGGACGAAAGTACGGGACATCCAGTGAGGATCGAACTCATTACTCAGTCGTAATTATTCTAGCGAGAAAAGCTTGCTAACCATTAGACCACGCCCATAGCGATTTTACAAGCGTAGATTGAATGTGGCACAAGGCCGAAAGCATGGGGCACCCAGTCAGGATCGAGCTCACAATTTATTCGTAACTGCTCTAGCGAGACAAGCTTGCTAAATATTACACCACGCCGAGGTGACCTTTTTCCGATATATATATATATATATATATATATATATATATATATATATATATATATATATATATATATATATATATATATATAAAAAGTTTATTTTATAAATTAATCGAAATAGATTAACAAAAGAAAGTATAAAGATAGATAGATAGATAGATAGATAGATAGATAGATAGATATTCGGTCAAACAGGATAAATGTAAAAAGCAATACTGAAAAGAAAAAGTAAGTACTGAATGGCAGAGGCATTTTTGTTTCAGAATCTATCTTACACGTTTATAAATCTACCATTCGTAGCATGCATTGATCATTGCTGCCATATATGGTCTTGTGCTGGGCACCTCGAAAGGGTTTAATGGTTAGCAAGCTTGTCTCGCTAGAAAATTACAACTCACAGTTCGATGCTCACTGGGTGCCACCTAGATTCGGCCTTGAGCCACATCTAAGCAACGCTCGGAAAATCACTATATGGTCTGGTGCTCCCATTATATATCTCCACTTGAGTCAATTTTCAAAGTCAAGACATGCTACCCCTCTTTATACAAATATTTGCATGTTCTTGATGTAGTGAACTTTTTTACCTGGTACCCTGACTACCCTAATAAATTCCTTTCTTGCACCCCCTCCCAATTTTCGCATACCTGCCATCTAGAATGCTTTAAAAAAATGTGTATACAACGTCAATCGCCATGGACTTCATGGAACCTGTTTCTTTATTGACTTTTCTCCTCAATTCTCCTCATCGAATATTTCTCATTGTCTCCTGTTAACTCCTTGCTTCACTGTGGAAATATCATCTTGCTCCCTAGTGGTGTCTCCATCAGGATTCCTAGAGTTATCATCACCTTGATTCCTTGTGGCATCATCATCTTGCTTCCTAGTTGCATCATCATATTATTTCTTAGTGGAATCATTACCTTCTTTCCTACTGGAATTATCAACTTCCTTTCTAGAGCGATTATCAAGTTGCTTCCTAGTGGCATCAACATCTTGCCTCTTAGTGAAATCAACATCTTGCTTCCTAGTGGAATCATCAATTTGCTTCCTAGTGAAATCATCATCTTGCTTCCTAGTATTGGTATAATCTTGCTTCCTTGTGGAATCATCAGCTTGCTTCCTAGTGGCATCATCATCTGGCTTCCTAGTGGCATCATAACCTTGCTTCCTAGTGGAATCATCATCTAGCTTCCTAGTAGCGACATCATCTTGCTTCCTTGGGGAATCATCTTGGTTCCTAGGGCCCTCATCTCGCTTCCTGGTGGAATTATCATCTTGATTCCTAGTGGCAACATCATCTTGCTTCCTACTGGCATTATCATCTTGCTTCATAGTAATATCATCATCTTGCTTCCTGGTGGCAACATCATCTTGCTTCCTGGTGGCATGATCCTCATGTTTCCTAGTGGCATCATCATTCTGCTTCCTAGTGGCATCATCACCTTTCGTCTTAGTGACAGCATCATCTCGTTTTCTAGTGGCATCATCAGCTTGCTTCCTTTTCCATCATTATCTTGCATCCTACTGGAATTATCATCTTTCTTCCTAGTGGCATCATCATCTTTGTTCCTAGTGGCACATCATCTTGCTTCCTAGGGACACCATCACCTTGCTTCCTGGTGGAATCATCTCCTTGATTCCTATTGGAATCATCATCTTCCTTACTATTGGCACCATCACATTGCTTACTGGTGGCAGCATCAACTTGTTTCCCAGTGGCATCATCACCTTACATCCTAGTGGCATCATCACCTTGCTTCACAGTGCCATCATTCCCTTGCTTGGGGTGAAAAGTTTAAAAATATTCAATATTGCATTTCTCTGTACAACGAAGGTTAGACATGGTGGTGGGTGCAGATGCCATGCCTGAGTCATACGATAGAATTGAATAATTATGGAAAATCCCACCTGAGAGCTATTTTACAGAATGTTGACCTCGACGAGCATTTGGTTCAAGAAATGTAATAAACGAATAATGAATATCACCAGAATGTTTTAGTCACTCAGTGCCAGAGTCTGAGCGTAGTACCCTCCAAACCTACCAATTGGTGGTGAAGGCGGGTAACAGACTGTGTGCTCCCGACAATACTTTGTGAACCTCGCTATATTATGAACATTTTCTTTTTTCTGCCGACATTTAAATACGTTATAAATTAAACTAAACACGACTATTAATGGATGCAAAATGTTCGCGGATTTTGGCATTATTCTGAGATCTTTATTTTTGTCCAATCCGTGATTTTGTTTTTCTCATGCTAATTTCATAAAATAAACACTACATAAAATACAATATTTTTTTTTATCCATAATGCTGAATGCATTAACATTATTCAAGTTTTTTACTAGAATAATCTCAAGTTGATGATAATTGCTACAAGGTTTTGTTGATTTATTGAAGATGGAATGATCTATCAGGTCATCCCATAAGTTCTGTCCGAATTTTGAATAAAGGAAACAAGTGACCAAATGTTACATTTAATTACAGATTCAATCAACAATGTATTTTCCCTGATTATCTATGACCGCCTTCCATCTATTAACAAGCTTACTAATTCCATTAATGTAAAATTCTTTTGGCTTTGATTCGAAGAACTCACAAATGTCAGTTTTAAACTCTTCCCGTGTTACAAAAGCTGTTTCTTCCAAATGATTCTGTAAGCTACGAAACAAATGGTAGTCTGAAGGATCAAGATCAGGAGAATAAAGTGGATGAGGAATTTTCTCCCAACCAAGCTCTTCGATCTTTTGTGACGTGATTCTTGATGTGTGGGGTCGCGCATTATCCTGATGAAACATCACCTCCTTTCGATTCACTTGAGCAGGTCTTTTTTCCTCAAAGCTTGGTTCAAACGCTCTAATTGCTGACAGTATATTTGAGCATTAATTGTTGCATTAGGTGGTAAGAATTCAAAGTGGATTATTCCTTGGCGATCCCACCAGATTGAAAGAAGAACCTTTTGCCCATGAAGTTCCCTTCTTGGCTGTGGCTCGGGTCCTTCCTCTTTACCAAGCCACTGTCTACAATGCTTAAAATTTCGATAAAAGATCCATTTTTCGTCGCCAGTCACAAGTCTATCCAAAAAAGGTGAAATAAGTTGGCGAGGATGGAGAGAAGAGCAGAAGTCAACTCGGGATTTGAGGTTGTTTTCAGACAACTCATGAGGCACACATTTTCCAAGTTTAGGAACTTTCCCAAGTTGTTGAAGATGACGATGAACAGTTGTATGGTTTGAACTGAGAACCACTGCCAATTCCTCAACTGATAAAGCAGGATTTTCTTCAAGGGCTGCTTCAAGAAGCTTTTCATCAAACTCAACTGGACGTCCGGTTCGATCTTCATTTTCAAGGGTGAAATCTCCAACTCTGAATTTTGCAAACCATCCTCTGCAAGTCCTTTCATTCACGCATTCCTCTCCAATGTTTCTAGCCGCTTCGGCTGCTGAGTTTCCTTTCTTGAACTCATAAAGCAATATGTGCCTCAAAAGATTCTTGTGTATTTCCATGTTAGCAGGGTTTTAATCAAACAAAATTTAATTTTATTGTTCTCTGAAATAAAATTTGATTCGTTTAAATGCACCTAAACATAAAATAATGTTCAGCTCCATTAGACATAAAATACTCTTTAAATTTCGTTCATTTTAACAAAAAGTTAAAATTCGGACAGAACTTATGGGATGACCTGATATTATGACATGTCTCTAATTTGTATTTAGATATATTATAATTAATTTTATATTTGAATTGTTCACCTATATTTCATAATAGCTTAAAAGCCACTCTATCGAGCGATTTTAATCTAGTTCCTAAGAAGGGCTATTGATTGAGCCTTTCTCTTGTTCAGGATTTTGATTCCTTAAAGTCTCTGCGTATTCTCAGCATTGGAAGCTCTCCCGGTTGCCGTTTGATTTTGGTTTTCATTTGCACGGGACGTTCTCACTACAGTTTTAGCTCTTTTGATTACAATCATGTCCTCTGTTGGCAGAGATTTCTTTTTGCTATGCATAATGATGTCGTATGCGATAGACAAAAATAAACTACAGAAGAAGTCAAAATTAATCGCTGTATTTAAGGATTGCATTAATATTTAAGCTTACCTTTTAATAGTTCAACGATAATTCTTCGGTCGCCATTTAATTTAAAGACAATTTGATGTACGTAGATACTTAATTTCCGTACAAACATTTTTTTTTTATTATTATTTCATGGGTGGCATTCGCTGGATTTCCAAATTAATTTCAATTATTCCCAAATTTATTTCCAAATTATAAAATTGTTATTGTATAAAGAAAATTCGTCGCAAAAAAATCACATAAAAATTCGCCAAAAACAATTGCAGTAATGAAAATTTGGTGATCCAAAATTTCAGGATTGCCGGTCCAGCTCCGAATCCGTCCCGGAATGATTTTAATTTGCGCACATAGTCGGCCTGATTCCAAAATGGCATGTCATGTTGGGCTACGGCCTCTAGGACTACAGTTGAAAAATGGGACAGATTATCTATTATTGTATATAATTATGTTACAATATATACATATATATTTTTATATGAATAATGCCAGATGAAAATTTAGATGCAGGGGACAGGAGAGAACCCCGTATACTAGATTCGGGTTTGGGGGGGGGGACACGAGACCCTTGCACCGGCTCTGCTCAATGTTACCCGTTTCTTTTTCAAATAAGATACGATCATCACTGCAAAGCACGAGCCCTGACTTGACCTAATATAGAATCTACAAATGGATTGCTTTATTGTACGCCAAATATTAGTCATTGGAAAAAAAATTCTTGCCTTTCCCAAAAGTATTATTAGAAAATGAAAGTTTAAGAGTTACAACTGGATTTTGAACACGGTCCGCCGATTCCGTTTCCCATCATATTAACCTTTACGACACCCTCTGACAGAGAACAATGCAAGATAAACTAAAGAAACTAACACAGATATCGAAATGAGAACTTGTTTTCTCGATTGCCACCACGATGCTCGCTTTAAGACTAGGTTAGAAGAGTGAGGATTTTATTCTATTAATTTTTTTTTTATTTTAACCATTTATTTCATATTTTTTTATCCGCCCAAAAGCTGACAAGATGCGTTGCGAATTTGAAAACTGAAGATCTGATGGCAAGCGCGAGGAGTACGAGGAGGAGAAAAGGCGTGGTCGGTTGTGGGTGGCAATGTCAAAAACGCTGTCACTGCAGGCAACCAGTAGATGATTTTATTCTCGAAAGTATTTTATCAATTTTTTTTTCTCTCTCTTTCTCTCTCTCAGTACTTTTTTCTCCTCTTTCTTTTTCTTTTTTTTTTTTTTTTGCGATCATTCCTATATCATTACCGCTGAAAAATTTTCTACTAAGTCACGTTTTAATTACTATTAAAGCAATTGTAATTATCTCGATTTTTCTGACATTTGGGGCATATTATTGTAATCGATCGGAAGATAATTTGCCGTTGAGCGTCTATTCGTCTTGCAAATCGATGTTATCGAGTTCGTTTCTCAATGGTTGTTTCACCAAAGTGACCATTTTTAATCGGTCAATAAATAAATACAGGAATCCACGATTAGTAGCGCTAATGTGTACATTATGAGATATGCACTAATAGAAAACGCATTAATCGAATATAATAACTTGATGTAATTTGTAACTAGAATTTTAGTCTCATTCATAATTAATTTGTAATTTGCGTACCTTTTAATTAAAATAGGTACATATAAGATACAATAAAAATGCTATGAATTAATGTCTATTAATCTGACGTTTTACGAAAAACTTATTTAGAATCGTTTGCCGCAAGGTATTCTGCTGTTCTTCTTATAATTGGTACAGAGAAATTGCCCCTTCAAGTTTTCCAAACATATAATCAATAATAGTTTAACCTGAAAATTTTATTTATAATCTTTTCATATTAAATTCATACATTTTTTTGATATTTTTTAATAAATGTAAATTTATGTACCTAATTAAATCATCTAATTTTAAAAAAATAATCAGAAATTTCCTTTTAAGACCTTCAAAATAAACATGAAAAAAATATCAAAATATTTAAACATTTTAATAGACAAATAAGCAAATAATTATTTTTATTATCGGCTTATATTATAAGATTAATCTATTTATAACCTTTCTTTTTTTTCAACATTACTGCAATTATTTAGATCGCTTAATACATGACAAACAAAATAGTTACCGATTTTCTATTTTAACATTTTAGAATAATGTTAATGAATCGGTAACTATAAAACATCAATTTTCAATTACTATGGTTAAACTGAAGAATGCTTTACCGCACTAATCGAGTATTATGTATGCACGAATCGAAGATTGGCATATAAAAA